ATTATTATTATTATTATTATTATTATTATTATTATTATATAATTTCATTGCACTTTATACTCACTGTTCTTTGTCCAAGTCAAGCAGGGACCAATGTGCCATTGTGATAGTTCTGACTTCAATCTGTGACTACAAATTACTAAATTCAAAACATTCATGATTAGCTTGCATTAAAATGCTTTTTTTGTTACTGGCCATTTAATGCTCCTTTGGAGGTGGGAGTGGTTAAAGCACCCACCTTGGCCCCTCCCCCACAAATTTGAACACATATTCATGGACCCCTTGCATGTGACATCAAAGTAGCTCAATCTGGAGGACAAAACAAAAGAATTCCAATCTCATGAGAATTGGAACCTATTGTTTTGTCCCCCAGATTGAGCTGCATTCCAAAGTGCTGCAAGGGGTCCACAGTTCTCTTGTATATATTTCATTCGAATTTTCTTAAATTACCCATTTTAATCTGGCTAAGATATAGTTGCAAACTACCTGAATTTGATAATGGAGTACAAATTTATAAAATATTAATATTCTTCAGTTCCAGGAAACAGAGTTTAAATCATTTCCAAGAATCATGAATACTGCATATAATATAAAGCTAAGATACTAAGGATTTTTCTTTCTGTTTGAGAACAAACGTAATTCATATATGTATTTCAAAAATAAATCGTACCAAGGAAGTATCGTCAATAAATTTCATGTCGAACTATTCATTTTTATTCCAGGCTGAGAGTTGATTTAAAATGGAAACTCTCAACGAGCGACGATCTTGCTCCAACGTGAACTAGTGCAGTTCGTATTTTTATTGCACTTAAAATCTTAAAAATAGGCTACTGAATGCAAGATTGCAGCCTTTTTAAGCAATATGAAAGCGTAAAAAGAGCTTAAGCACTTAGTAAAGGTATTCGGGTTAGTTAAATACCGAATGAAAGACTTCAACATTGTAAGTGTTAGAAAATATAAAATGTCAAGCTTTTTTCTCACCTTGAATTAATACTTTTCACGCCTTTGAAATTATCACGCCATCAGATGAATTATAACCAGCCGAAGATCTTAGAAGAAAGCCAAAAATCACATTATAACATATGAGTCATTGGAATTACAAATAGATTTAGGGGAATATTTTAGGAAATATCACAAAGGTATTTTATTGCAAGCGGCCGGAAGTAGTGCCGTGGTTGAATAACTGAGACACAGGTAGCCCACTTTTTAAACGCGAAGTATGACCATTAATTAACAATAGCCGAGTTACACTCTTTTGCCTCCAAACATTGCATCCCCATTTCCTAGCACTCATTTTGACCAAATACCATAGCCCCAGCCTATGTTTTGCTGAAATCTCAACTCCTTCCCATTTTTAAATTGTTTTTGCTTTGATTACCAATCCCATTCCCAGTGCATTAAATCCCATTTTCCCAGCACAAGGCGAATCCCAGCTCCCATTAAGTTCAGAACTAAAAATTGTGGGTTCGTGTATTTTCCATATGTACGTCCTTGCTTTGGAACGATCTGCTGCTATTGCTGGTTTTCAATCATTCCCAAGAAGGGATTGAAATAACAAAAGACACGACGGCCATGTTGGATGAAATAACACTGAGAAATCAATGACAATTCTTTTGTCATGCGCAAACGAAGAATACACAAGGAATGCGCACAATTTAGTGAGAGTAGTTTTAAAGAGAAACTCAAGACATTCTTATTTAAATCATAAGTTATATGTCTTTTTGACTCTTCTTCAGTACTATATCGATATATTTTTCATCAATATAATTATTTATAATATCTAGATTTTTATTGTTCATAAATAAGTTTATATTATTATCGTCGTCGTCTATAAATTAAAGAAGCCAGTAAATTTTACTCGTTTTCCGTTGGTTTTTAAGGATTGGAATGGAAAGTTTATTACTTTTCCTAAAATTTCTCAGGCAATATTTTCAGTTAAATAGCTCTTAATAAGATGGTTTCATTGTAAAAGGTCAATGATGATGAGCCAGTGAAGATTGCGCAGAATAGGGGTGATATGGTCAGATTTCAGAACGGCAGAATTCTGAACACACTGGAGTTTCAAGAGACTATAGATTGTGTGCAACCATGTGACTCCAAATCCCTTGATATATGAATAACAATGAAACAGCCGCCATCTTGGTTGATCTAACAGGAGAAGCTAATGAGGAATGCTTTGTTGTGACGAGAGACTTCATAGCAAGACCGGACCACGCGCGATTTTCCTTTATTTAAAATATGAAATTTTATGCAGACCCTATTGTTGAAATACTCAATCGCGGTTGGCTAATTTGCGCACAAAAAAAAAAAAAAAAAAAAAAAAAAAAAAAAAAAAAAAGGTGCTCAATAAACTTATTAGCTAAAATCTATGCATCTATATACATGTATAGATAAGCGGCGCGGCCTCCCGTCTAAATCCTTCTGCAAAATTAACGTTTAACCGAGAATAAACTCTCGAATACACTTGAACAAACCTCACTTGAATAAAACCCGATCGAACTTGGCTCCTAGTTTAGGCGCTGCCGGGAGCTAATTTTGAACCAASGAATACTGTACCGCATATGAATGTTGGCGGCTCTCTCCCCATCAAACGTCGATAACATAAGCAAGATATTAGATTACTTAGTGCTATTCAGAAAGAGACGTTTAGATTTGGTATATCTCGACATTAAATGCTATGAATGTAACGCTTCATCTAACAAACGACCAAGAAAGAAAGTAGGAATAAAGAATGAAACTTAAAGTGAGGACATTCGAACCGTGAACACCAAGTTTTTTGTCACTTTTTAAAAATGCATACTACAGTTAAACTTGTCTATAACGGTCACCCGTGGGAAATGGCCAAGTGACCGTTATAGACAGGTGACCGTTATATAAAAGTTTTCCTTCAATGTAGTGACAGTTAATGAATAACGTTTCCGGTGACCGCGTCCGTTATATACAGGTGAGTAGTTATGACCCCCCAGATAGCGCACTTACGAGGGGAGGGGTGGTCTAAATTCCTGAATACCACCTTAAGARTGTAGGGGGAGGGGAGGTTGGAATGTAGAACAGGGTCAAAGTACGAATTCCAATCACCAAGGCGGGAATTTGAAATATGAAATATGAATACATATTTTTATGGACAGAAAAGTTTAAAAGCCCGATCAAAATCAGGCAAATAGTTGCCTCATTGTTCACTAACTCCGTATCCACTGTTTCAATTGCCGATTTGAGTGATGTCCATTCGTCTAAAGTCAAAGACACTCCTGAGCTAGTTAGAACCGTCTTCCCGCTCGATAAATCTTTYTTCTGTTTGCGGATACATATTTTTTTCTCCCTTCGAACATCCTTCGCAAAAATAACGTATCCACGGTCTCTTATTTGTATTACTTTTCCAGATGACATGTTAACTAATCTATCCGTAATCTGGCTGGCTGGATTATAGCTGAGTGCAAGTGGGGTTTTTCCGACGAAGGTGATGAGCAAGTGACTCTGCTGATTTTGATCGGGCTTTTAGACTTTTCTCTCCATAAAAATATGTATTCATATTTCATATTTCAAATTCCCGCCTTGGTGATTGGAATTCGTACTTTGACCCTGCTCTACATTCCAACCTCCCCTCCCCCTACATTCTTAAGGTGGTATTCAGGAATTTAGACCACCCCTCCCCTCGTAAGTGCGCTATCTGGGGGGGTCATAACTACTCAGGTGACCGCTATCAAGTAAAATTTACAGTGAATGTATGGCAAGATTTTCGGGGAATTGCTGAGTGACCGTTATATACGGGTGATCGCTATATACAGGTCCGGTCCGTTAATAATAATAATAGTTTATTTATCCACATAACGCCTAGGAGCATTTCACATACTCGTTTAAAATGCGCACGTGCACTAATCTATTAAGAAATAACCTAAATTAAAGTGATATGAAATATAATATATATATGTATATATGCAATAAATATAAAATATGAAATGATAAATATCTATTTACAATG